AGGCGGGCCCATGTCCGAGAGAACCAGGCCAAATCCAACCGCGCGCGTGGATTATTTCAGCCGGCGCCACACGGGCTAAGTCCACGGTGCACCGTGGAAAGCTAGTCGCAGCGCGGCCATAGAGGTGTCACACATCCAGGGGGGGAGTGCAGGGAGTGCCACGACCTGTCACTGCGGTGAAACAACCACGTCGAACGTCCTGCTGTGGATGTCGAGGTGAAGTAGGGGGAGGGGGCGCAGCCGATAGCCGCAGGTCAGGTGAATACGTGGGGGAAGGACGAAAGCCCAGCGGCCACCGTCAGCCAAGGACGCAGCCCTGCGTCGTCGGAAGGTGTTCAGGAGGGAGCCTGTCTGGTGGGGGGGAAACGCCACCAGGTCGATGCCGTCGGATGCGCTACTTATGGAGCGGAGTGCCTTCGGCCTGCAGCCCCAGCCATCCAACGTGAGTGCCCAGCGGGCACGCCGGGCCCATGTCAGATCAGAGAAAGGGCCAAAGTGAACCGCGTGACGGAAATATGGCAGCCGTTGCCACACGGGCTAGGGTCCACGCTGCACCGTGGGAGTCTAGACGCAGTGTGAGTGGTGCACCTCGTTCCCAAGAGGTGACACAATTGTATCAAGGCCAGGGCCTGCCACTACGGTGAAACCAGCCCCTGCTGTATAGGGACTACCCACGGAGGGGCCTGCGGGGACAGCCGTCCGCATCGTCTTTATCCTCATGATCTGCGCCCCTGTGGGCGGCAAAGGGGCGGTTGAGGACCATCGGACTGCCGACCCACTGGGCCCCACAAGGCACGTCGGGGGCCCAAATGGCCCACAGGGTCAGCGCGATGGAGACCACTTTGTATAGGGAGGTCTGGTGGGGATACGCGAAGCGTCTAAAATTCCTCTCGATGGTCCGAGCGATGCCATGGGGCCCAGTCCTGGGCCGGGCCTGGTGCCCGAGAAGCGTCCCCAGGCGCCGTGCAACGCCCACTCGCGGCGCCATGGAGCAGACCGCTACCGGAGCACCTGAGCCCACGTCTGCCCAGGGCCCGACGGGGCCCAAAAATTCCCGATCCCCTCCCGCAAGACGAGGGCGCGTTCGTGGAGTAGCCCTGTGCCGGTGAGAATCGCACCCTGAGGATAAGAAAATGTGGGGTCATGGGAAGATAGCACAACTTTCCCTGCTATATCTATCGATGCTGATAAGAAGGATTACTTATGGTGCGATGCAAGATATGAAGATCGAAGCGACGATGCGAACTTTGGGGTTGATTGTAAAGTTCGTCCAAAGGTCGCCCCCCGCGCCTCCTGTGGCAATTTGATCCCACATACGCCGCGTGGATAATCAGAGCGGCTATCGCTTGCAGGATTAAGGACGGGCAATTGTTCGCCCTCCTCCGCCTCTCCCTCCCGCCCCCCTCCCCTTCCCTGCCCTCCCCCGTCTGCGCAGAGGCACAAATCTTGCTCACTCGTCGTGCACATCCTTCACATCATGCACGCAGGTCGCACTGCTTTCATTTTCTCGAATCGTGTGCCACCCGTTCACGGGCCAACCTTTTGGTTTGACCAGGCCTCTGCTGCTGTTGTTCCCGCAAGACAGATGTGGATTCCCGCTTCCAAGGTCGTCTCGTGGTGCCCCAGGGGTCGAGATCGCCCCCCCCTGGCACGCCTCCGATTTGGACGCCTGAAACGGGTACGGAAAAAATGGGTCCGATGCCCAACACAGCACACGTTGTCCAAAACCGACAGCGGCCGCTGTGGGACGGGCGGCCTTGCGCATGAAATGGACAACGTCCGCAGAAACGCCGACGGCGATCCGTGTTCAAAATGGACAGGAGCTGCGGTCGGGGGGACGTACAGGTGGGGTAGGAGTAGAGGTGAGGTTGCAGGAAGACCGCTCTCGACGACTACTGGAACACGAACATCTGAGCACCCGCGGGGCTCGTTCTCCAAGCCCACCTTGGGGTGACCCCCCCCTACGAACCCTCGATGGAGCGCCGTTCTCTTTTTTTCGCCGATTATTGGCATTTTCGGGGGGGAGAGAGGCCGGGAAGGGGGATATAATGTAACGCCTCCCCCCGCCGTGCGCACGGCGGCAGTGCCCGGAGCGCACAGGGGGGGGGAGGGGCGTTACGTTATTAGGGGGGGGGGGGGGGGGAGGGGGCTGTAATGCCCATTATGCCCCCGAGGTGAGGAGGGAGGAGGAGGAGGAGAGGAGGAGGAAGGAGGAGAGGGAGGGAGGAGAAGGAGGAGGAGGAGGGAGGGGAGGAGGAGAGGAGAGGAGGAGGAGGAGGAGGAGGAGGAGGAGGAGGAGGAGGAGGAAGAGGAGGAGGACACCCGATGCTGGGCGCCCGCGCCCGCGCGAGGGCCTCTGTCACCAGCCGCAGGCGGAACTGCTGCCCCTCCTGGGCCCGCGGCCGCAGGCCCCACTCGAAGCCGGGCCCGACCTGCCGGCGCGGGTGTCCCCCTCCTCCTCCTCCTCCTCCTCCTCCTCCCCTCCTCCTCTCCTCTCCTCCTCCTCCTCCTCCTCCTCCTCCTCCTCTCCTCATCATCATCATCATCATCATCATCATCATCATCATCATCATCATCATCATCATCATCATCATCATCATCATCATCATCATCATCTTCCTCCTCCTACTCCTCCTCCTCCCTCCTGCTTCTTCTACTCCTCGTCAACATCGAATCGAGAAATACGATCAAGTCAGAAGGTGCCTCGGATCGAGCCGGATTGACCATGGAGTCGAGGTCGAATCGGGATGTACAAAAATGCCATGCGGGCCGCATCGGAGCGTCGGAATCAGATCGTACCAGGCCAGCCACAGTCGATATAAAACGGTATCGATCGGATCATGGGTCCTGACTCGTGCCTCCTCCTCCTCCCCTTCTCGCATCGTGATCAAAACATGGCGTGATGTGTGTTGCCCCTGGGAGCTATACCGGGCCTGCCAGACCGTCGAACAACACCGCGGATGATGAGCTGGCCCCAGGGAAGGGGTCGAGACCTCGGGGAGGTCCATTACTGACAGAAAGCGGCTTCGGGCGTCTGTGTAAAGAGGAAGCGATCGGGAATCGGCGAAGGAACATACAAGCTGTTGGGCACCCTGGGATTTGTTCTCGCACACAGAAGCATCAGCCAGCCAGGCCCGACCTGGCAAGGAGGGGCTTGGACTCGGATTCGGGCAAGCAGCGCGACAACCAATCTGGCAGAGGGCGTCCAACTCGATCGCACCCCTCCCATTTGCTTGAATCCCACCCGCCCCACCAGCAACGACACCACACGATATGCACTGGGACAAGAGTAGGGGGAGATCGGATCAAGGATCGAGGAAGGAGGGCCACAGCCGCTGGACGTGTTTGGGGACTTCTGCTGTGCCACCGTGTGCCTGCAAACTACTTCAGGAGAGGTGGCGGAAGGGAGTGATGGGATGGGGAAGGGAGAGGGGATGAGGAGGCAAGCGAGGTGCGTTTGGCCACATCTGACATCCTGCCCCTCCATCCCATCCCTTCCCATGGCGCTGATATTTTCTCTATCCGCCAACGGGTGTCATAGCAAGCCTGGAACATCCTAAATCACCCCATCGTGTTATGCGTTCTCTGAACATCTGACATGTGTACATTGGAGGAGGTGGCGGATAAGCAGGAGGCTGAGCAGGAGGAGGAGGAAAAGAAACGTGAAGGAGGAAGGCGAGGACGAACTGCAGCAGCAGGAGCAGGAGGAGCGGGAGGAGCAGGACCAGGGGAAGGCGGGGTAGGAGAAAGGAAGGGGGCGACAACGACGAGGCTCGGACCCAGAAACGTGGCCCGCACTGACACGAGAGCGGCATTTGGTGGTCTCCAAACCAGGTGGTGAGACACCCGGTGGTGACCCCGATTCCCCCAACAAATAATTATGGGTCACCACCGGGTTTGGGGACACGCGGTCGCCACGAGGCTTTGCGTTTCCTGGGCCAGCCAGCGCTCGAAAACCATTACCCAAATCGCCCAAAACTCACCACCGGGTGTTCTCACCACCACGTTTGGGGGCCACCAAGCCATTCCGAACGATGGGAGCAAAGCGCCGGTCCTGAAATGAGGCCAATGCTGCAGCGGGGGTGCAATTGTGGAAGGACCGACCGATGACCTTCAGATCCGAAAAAACAGGTACAGTCGGACTGCTGGAGCAAGGAACGCGGAGTACGTCAGGAACGAAACCCTTTTTTGGCACCGCAGAGCCCGGGTGCACGAGGAAGGCTAGAGGAACAACCACGGAATGCCCTAAGGAACAGCGAGGCCCTTCCGAGCCAAAACCGGTCCTTACTTCAGCGTCTTGGCCGCAAGAACACTGTGAACGAAAAACAGCACGCCGAGGGACGCGATCCACTCTCATGCCGTCCTCCGGGGGAGGGAGCAGAGCAGCATCCATATTGCGGAGGGAGGGGAACGGTATCCATAACTATTGTGAAAGTATTCGCCGCCGTGCCTCGGGGCAGGGAGTGGGTGTGCCCTCAGGGCCTCTGCCCAGTCCCACGAGCCTCCGTCCTCGGTCTTCTTTTTTTGTAAACCCCAGGTCGCGCCGAGCTCCTCAGGTCTCCTGTCAGTTGGCAAACGGGGCCACTCCCAGGAGAGGCAGCGCGGTGAGGCTCGAGAGGAGGGGCCAGTCCCACGAGCCTCAGTCACACTGCCTCTCAAGAGGCTCGAGAGGCAGGGGCCCATCCCCGCGAGCCTCGTCACACTGCCTCTCAAGAGGCTCGAGAGGAGGGGCCCATCCCCACGAGGCTCGAGAGGAAGGGGCCCATCCCCACGAGCCTCAGTCACACTGCCTCTCAAGAGGCTCAAAGAGGAGGGGCCCATCCCCACGAGGCTCGAGAGGCAGGGGCCCATCCCCACGAGCCTCAGTCACACTGCCTCTCAAGAGGCTCGAGAGGAGGGGCCCATCCCCACGAGGCTCAAGAAGAGGGGCCCATCCCCACGAGCCTCGGTCACACTGCCTCCCAAGAGGCTCGAAGAGGAGGGGCCCAGTCCCGCGAGGCTCGAGAGGCAGGGGCCCATCCCACGGGCCTCGTCGCACTGCCTCTCAAGAGGCTCGAGAGGAGGGGCCCATCCCCACGAGGCTCGAGAGGCAGGGGCCCATCCCCACGGGCCTCGGTCACACTGCCTCCCAAGAGGCTCGAAGAGGAGGGGCCCAGTCCCGCGAGGCTCGAGAGAGGAGGGGCCCCGTCCCACGAGGCCTCCGCCCTCGGCCCCGAAAGCGCCTCCCCCAGGGGGGCCCCCCGAAGCGCCACGTGCCTCCACAACCCAAGGGCTCCTAAGTTCACGCTTCGCGCTCCGCGAAGCGCGAAGCGCGAATAACTTCGCGCTCTCGCGCCGCCCCCCCAAAGGGAGAAAAGGAGGACGAGGAGGAGGGGGAGGAGAAACGAGGACCGCGAAGCGCGAAGCGCGAATAACTTCGCGCCCTCGGGGGAGCCCTTGACAACCCCACAGGGGGGGGGGGGGCTGGGCGCGTGCCCTCCCGGGGGGGGGGGGTCTCGCCGCGGCCCGCCGCGCGCCCCGCCCTCGCGCCCCGGAGGCCACCGCCTTGGCAAACGGGACCCTCGCCGTCGCTCGGACGTCCACTTCCCGTGCACGTTTCGGTGTCGTGCGTGTTTTTTTGTCGCTCGATGGCCCAGGATCGTCCTCGATGGTGCTCGCCGAGAAAAAATGCACACGTCCGAGCGATGCCAGGGACCAGGAGAAGACGGAGCAGGACCACAGAGAAACGACGCAGGACCACCCGGAAAAGCAAGCAGGACCGCGCGGAAAGGAAACAGGACCCGGAGAAAACAAAACAGGACCACAGAGAAACGAAACAGGACCACCCGGCAAAGCAAACAGGACCGCGCGGAAAGTAAGCAGGACCTGGAGAGAACAAAACAGGACCACCGAGAAACGAAACAGGACCACCCGGCAAAGCAAACAGGACCGCGCGGAAAGTAAGCAGGACCAGGAGAAAACGAAGCAGGACCACCCGGAAAAGCAAGCAGGACCGCGCGAAAAGTAGACAGGGCCAGGAGATAACGAAACAGGACCACGGAGGAACGAAACAGGACCACACGAAGAAGTAAACAGGACCACGAAAAAACTAAACAGGACCAGGAGAAAACTAAACAGGACCACAGAAAACTAAACAGGCCCGAGTCAACGAACGATCGCCTCGAGACGCCCAAGATGGCCCCCAGACGGCCCAAGAGGCCTCCGAGGCTCCCAAAATTGGCCTCCGAAAGGCATCCCGACAGGGCCCCAAGAAGCCTTAAGTCATTCGTTGTCCTTGGGCTGTTTGTGGACCTGGGCGTTCTCGCCTTGACGGTTTCCCCACTCTGCCAGATGGCCCTTGAGGCCCCCAAGACCTCCCCTAAACGGCCCAAGTCGCAGAGGGCCCCAAAACGGCCCAAGAGGGCCCCAAGACAGCCCAAGACGCGCCCAATACTGCCCAAGAGGGCCCCAAGACGGCCCCCAAAGGGGCGCAAAAGAGGAGCACGACCAGGAAATCCGAGCCTTCCGCTCCAAGAGGCCCCCCACGAGGCCCCGAGAGGCCCCAAGAGGCGCCCTGGAAGCCCCACGAAGCCCCCAAGAGGCCCCAAGAGGCCCCCACGAGGTCCAAAAGAGGCTCCAAGATGCCCCCAAGCGGCCCCCAAGAGAGGCACCCGAGAAGCATCCCACGAGATCTAAACAAACATCCAATAGGCTCCATCCCACAACCCAGGCACGGTGGCGGGATGGGCCGAAGGCCATTCGATTGAGGCAGCTGGGCACGAGGAAGGAGAACGAGGAGGAGGAGGAGGAGGAGGAAGAGGAGGGAGGACGAGGAGGAGGAGGAGGAGGAGGAGTATATATATATATATATATATATATATATATATAGCGAGCGATCACAATGATCCTTACCGAAGACAGTGGCCTGCCCAGGGTGGCGCACACCCAACCACCTACGCCACCTGGGCAGGCTGGGGGACGACGGGAGGCGGAGGAGGGCAGGCGGGGGGCGGGAGAGAGGCTGGGCGGCGCCTGGCGGCGAGGGACGCCTCCACGTCGTCGCCCAGCGCGATGGCCCCGACAGGCGCCGCACGACGCGCGCGCGGGGCCGCGCTCGCCGCTCTCTCTCCTTCCCCCCCCTTCGCCCGAGCCCTCTCCTTCCGCTCCTTCCCCCAAACAAGGCTGCCAGGGACCTTGCCCTGGGCGATCCTCTGAAGATTCTGAGACCCCGCCTTCTCGAGGCGGCCCGAACACTCCTTACTCAGGTCTCGAAGGTGCTGGGTCGAGTACGCTCCACATGCAAGGCACCACAAAACATTGGCCTCAGGCCAATACGCCAGAGCATGGGAGGGGTCCACAAGACGACTTCTGACACAGACCGCAGCCGTCGGACGAAAAACCGACCCAGACCAGACCATGGGAGTGCACGGCGAATTCAGAAAGCCGTTAAATCACGGCTGGTCGAACTGCACCCACATTTCTGACACCGCGAGAAATCCCCACAAATGATAGGGCACGAATGGGTGGTCCGAGCCGCAGCCGAGCGCAAAAGCTGGCGAGCCGACCTCCGAACCTTCACCTTAGGGGGTCGGGGAGGCCGACGGCCTTCGTGCTCCATAACATCAGACATCACATCCAAGATATGATTCTGCACTTTCCGAGCTAGACCATCCGCAAAGCGGACGGGCGCCGAAACTCCATAGGGCACCTGGACCTGGCTCGCAAAATGGCCAGCAACTAAGTCGGCCACAGCATTTGCCAGGACAACTCCAGGATTCAAACCCCGACGGGCGGCATCATCCACACTGAGATGGCTCGGAATCTGCACGAGAACCACATCACCGAGACGCTCCAGAGCACACTGGACACGGCTCCACAAATCAGAATGGGTCTGAATTCGCTTGCGGAGGCCAGCCTGGACACGAGCGAACCCTCGGGCAACATACGCCGAGTCCGCAGTATAACCCAGGCAGGCTCCATCACCCGCCGACTCTAGGAAGACAACAAGGGCCCAGAGCTCACCCCGATGCACAGACTGCTTCCCAGAGATGTCCCCCCTCTTAAAAACTTGATGTCGGCTTCCGACACCAGGGGGGGAGGGTTTACAACATCATGGCCAAAAAACCGCGACGCCCCAAGACACCCGCCTAAGACGCGTATCCTTCGTGATCTCCCCACCACTCGCGTCCCCAGCGCCCCAGATGCGAGTTCCTTCACAAGGCCCAGGAAACACACCAGCGGCAGAGAGGATCGGGTCGTCGGGAGGAGGAGGGACCAATGTCCATTCGCGGGGTACGAGGCCGCGAAGCCAGAAACATGGAAGGTCAATGGCAGCAGCCGCCGCCTTCCGAGAGAACGCATTATCTATTCGCTGGAATTCGGCATTGCACGGGCATTGCCAGAAACGATGAATGTCCGTCTCTGGCTCAAGCCCACACCGAGGGCAAGTGACCTCGCACTCCCCCCCACACGCCTGAATTCGAGCTCGCGTCCAGACAGCCCCAGAGAGGACCGCCCGAAGCAAACCCCACTTCTGCACCGACTTTCGTCGCAGAGACGCAAGGTGCCTCCACGGGACCGTAAGGCCGACACCAAATGCAAGACCCCCTCCATGGCGGAGCTCGGCGGCAGCGGACCATAAACGCGCCTCAATGCTTCGGTCCACTTCCTTCTTAAAATCCGACGTCATAAAAGCCTGGGAGCGAAGCTCATCGGGCAAGGCGAAGACATCCCCCCCAGGAGCAACCCAAGACCACGGCCCCTCGAGCTTCCATCCCAGGGCCGTCATCGTGGCAACCACAGCAGAGACGGGCCCTTTAACATTATGCCACCTGCGCTGGGGCCCCAAGGAATCGCTACGATCAACCGTGGCCTGCCAACAGGCACGCATGCGATCCAATCCTTTTTCTGGCAGTGAGGCAACAATCTGAAACCAGGATTCCAGCAGCTGAAAGACAGCGGTGAAAGCTGGGCCCTTTTTCCGTACCTCGAGCGCCAACAAGGTCGTGAGACGTCGCCCTGCCGCGCCACGAGCCAAAGTGCTGGCGAGTGCCCTCCTCCACTTCTGCAGGACCGAGGGCGCGACCCCAAACACTTTCCAGGCGTAGGGAGCCTGCGGCAAAGCCCCAGTGAGGATCAACCGCGCCCCGATCTTGCGAGGGGCCACTGCAGCTAGCTTATTAATTCTGCAGGCGCGACGAGTGGCCTGACCCAAACGCTTAGAATGCCGAGGCCTGGCAACTGCAACGCCACTGCCTCTCCCGATGCCAAGGTCTGCCGCAACCGAGGCCACTTCGACCTGGATGCCTTTTAGACCAAGCCCATCTTGGATCTCTCTCGCCACCGACAGCTCAGACGCCACGATGGTCGACTTGCTAGCAATCTTGAGCTGCTCAGATGCACAGCCCGAAACAAAAACAGCACCAGAGGAGACGAGCTCCCGAATTACATCTCGCTTCAATCCCTCGGCACGCTGAGTGACATCATCAATCCAGGTGCGCAGGGACACGAGAGAACTACTGGCACACGCGCGCTCACAAATATCGAACATCTGGCATTTCGAGAAATCGGGGGCCCTGCGAGCGCCAGCCACGAGGCCCCCGTGCGGAAGAATGGGAGGGGCATAGACCCCTTCGTCCCTCAAAAGCCTGGGCCCCATGTGGAGAATAGTTCCCAGGGCCAAGGGGTGAGGGGGAAAGTCCAAGTCGACCGCATGATCGACAACCTTTTCCCATCGAATGATATCATAAAAAGCTTCGACGTCCGGATCGACGCTGAGCAATACTCTGGCAGCACAGACGCAAGAGCAGCCTCATCAGCATAACACCTGAGCAGAGCCTCTCGTAGAGCGCTGTTGCCTCGCACCGCTGCGTCCCAAGGACCAGAGCGAGCAGAAGCCCAACTCTCCGCAGGTCGCGACCGCATGCGACTCCACAAACGACCCAACCAGGTGAGCAATCCTATGGCGCGATCCTTACGCACATCAGGTTTGCGAAGCAAGGCGATGATGGCCGTTAGCCATTGCCAAGGCCAAGCGACCCTAGCTTCAACCTGCTGGAAGATGGCAAGCAGAGCACGGCGGCCAGACTCAGGCAGCCACCACACGTCCCTCTGGCCGACCCCCTCGATGCCACGGGCCTTCCGCGGCGAAATGCCACGGAGCGCCTCCTCCAGCTGTTCCAGAGTGAGCGGTTCCAGCACGTCGAGCAACGCCAGCTGACGAGCCTTGTCCAGCACACGGAGAGCGAGGCCATCATCGTACCCCGACGGCGTCCAGAGCTGGGTCCAGACCGCTGCCTTCGCCTCCATCACTGAAGCAGCGTCGCACGAAGTAGCTCCATCTAGCCTCACTTCCGAGACCTCAGCCGTGGGGTCACGCACAAATCGATGAAGAGCTCCACAACCCAAGACGGCCTGCTGGTGCACCCAGTCGCGGAAGGCTTGGTACCGCTGCCGCGCCACAGCGCGCTGGGCCTGGTCCGAGGCCGCACGCGCACCTTCGGCGAACTTCATCAAAGAGTCCTGCGAGGCTCCATCCAGCGCACGCAAGCTCCGCAGCCAACGATCCCGCCGGCGAGCAGGAAGAGGGACCAACTGCGAGGATGGAATCGACCCTGCAAGAAGTCGCAGCTGATCTCGCAGATGACGAGCACGGGAAAGGTCTCGCTTATCTCCCTTCTGACCGACAAGTTCGTCTAGCAAGTTGGCTACCGTCCCCCACCATCTGGCACTGGGGTCAGCAACTGTAGGATAAGGCTTGCTGCCTTCAAAACAACCAAGCTGAGGGCCCCGAAGCTGAGATCGTCCACAATACTGCTTTCTCGCCATGGGGTCCACCTGATACAACTCGAGATAATACAACTCCATGGTGGAAACCCAGGTTGCGAATTCAGTACCAAGAGCCTGAGCGTCATCATCAGCAGCCTGAAATGCCACGGACTGCTGAACAAAATCAGGGACAGGAACAACTGAATGCGAAGGCCTGGGCGCCACCTGCTGCCACAGTAAGTCCTTCGCCTCAGCAGACCACTCTGCCTGGATGGAAGCGTAGGTGTCCAATTCAGACTCCGCGACGGCCACCTGCTCATCGTCGTTATCATCAGGGACATCCGTTTCTTCCTCGTCCGTGAAAAACTCGTCCTCGTCCTCACCATAGAGGGAATACTGCAAGGGCGGAGGGCTCTTGATACTCAGCTTACGCCTCGGTCCCCACGTAGTCGGAGACGGCGTCAGCGCTGGCTGGGGGCGAGCATCCCGAAGAGCCTTGGCCTCCGCTTTCTTCTGCGAACGCTTGCTATCGGGGTCAGCGAGAGGTTTTGGGCGACCAGGATGAGGAAAAGCACGAGGCAGCCGCATGATCCAAGCTCTGGCCCGACTGGCGTCGAAGTTGAGCTGAAGCTCAAGACCGTAGTGAGCCTTCCCCGCCTCCTCGACCGCCTGGAAATCCGCCAACAACGACTCGACCCAAAGTACCGCGTGTTGAGACGCAACCATGTAATCCAACATTCGCCCCGAGCCCAGCGCGCAGGTATATTCCGTGTTGGTGGGGGTGATGATCGCACCGTTGACCATGGCCAGCCAGCCTGTGCTAGCCAACTCCTTTGGCGTCATATTCCAATCACCGATGGCCAGCCATGGCCCCTGGATCGTAGAAACCAAAGTGCCGACATTGGCCAGCTTAGCAGCATTCGCCTTCGGGCCCACCGACGAGGTCATCTACACTCCAACAATGAGCAAAGACTGGCCTTGGGCCCTCAGCTGCATGGCCACCATATCCCGACAATCAATGCCAGGCTGGCCCTTCGGACCGCGGTCCAAATCTCGCAACCCGACCTGATCCGAGGGTGAAGAAGCTAGGTGGCGCATCGACTGAACCTTGTACTTCTTAAGGGTGCCCATGGTAATACCTCCTGCCTTGGACTTACCATTCGACTCGTAAGCCGCAGAGAGCATGCCAATGTAGCCAGCCTTCCTCCAGTCATGCAACGATTCGTGGGACCCCACAACTGGAACGTGGGTCCCAGGGAAGACAAGGATATCCGCTGCCCGATCACGACAGACCTTTCGCGCGGCAGGGCCCCATCCACCCAAGTTACGCATATACAACGTTCGCCTCGACGGCGAACATGTAGGGGCCGAACTTGCACGCGGCAAAGGCGGGCTCGCCCCTCGCTCACAAGGCCCGCCGCGAACGAGGGGATCAGAAAGGCTAAAGGCCAGACTGGCCTGCCGAAGCCGCCGTCGACCTCGCTGTGGCCAACAACGCCTCCGCCTCCTCCTTCAACTTGGACTCAATGGCCGCCAGACGGGCAGCCCCCACTGCATCAGGTGCTCCAGGCGCGGTCGCCGCTGCGGGCGCATCCCCACCAGGGGCGGCCGCTGGCGCCGTAGCCGCTGCAGGCACCGCAGGCGCCTGACCCGCAGCCTGCGCAGCGGCGTCGCCTGCAGGGGCCGCGGCTGCCCCAGCAGCGGCGCCTGCCCCAGCGACAGGCGGTGGCCCAGGGGAGTTCTCCCTGCGCCTCTTGGTGATCTTCTCGCGCATCTCCGCGAGCTTCTCCTTATGCTCCTCCAGCTTGTCGTGAGCCTCGCCGAAAGTGGTACGCAGGGTGTGCATCAGCGCCTCCATCACCGCCTTCTTGCGCTTGTCCAACTCAGCGACGTCCGATGGGGGAATGAGCCCATCCGCATTACTGAATTCCTCGCCCAACGACAGAGTGAACATGGACTCGTCCACCGCCTGGGCAGACATCAGCGCCGACAAATCGATGGTGTTAGGGGATACCCCCGCCTGTGCAGTAGTCTGAGCCTCCACCGAAGGCACCATTGAGCGGAAAAGCCTGGCCCTCTCTGTCTCCGCTCGGGCCAATGTGGCTGCTGCATCCTGCAAAGTACCCTTGCACTTCTCAAGTTCCATCGTCAACTTGAGCTGCTGAGACTGCGCCTTATCGAACGCTGTCTGGGCCTTCTGCACCTTCGACGCCGCCGCCGTCACCTGCTGAGTGATGGGTTGCGCCGACTCCGACTTCTTTCCTGCAGCACGAGTCGCATCCAGCAGCGCCTGGGCCGCCTTCGCCTGCTCGGAGCCGCCTCCCTTGATGACGGCCTCTAGCTGCACCTCGAGGGCGGCCTGCTGCTGCAAGTGCTTGCCATTGCCCTTACCCTTCGCTGCCTTCGGGCCCGCCCCTTCCCCGTCACCCGCCTCAGGAGGAGGTAGGTTGCTGAAGGGCGCACCACACAGGCACGTGTTCTGATACATCTGCAACTTACTCGTCCAAGCCCAGCGCGAACAAGCCGAGCACTTGACCTTCGAGTCCTGCGTCTGCTGTGCCCCCTCGCGAAACCTCCTCTGAGTACCTGGCCATGGCGGAGGCGGCGGCACCATCCACGGCTGCTGAACCACATGGTGCCACGGTGCCCAACCAATACTGGAGCTCGTAGGAGGCGCATGCTGCACGCGCTGAGGCCCAGGTGGCCGAGGGAGGGGTGGCCAAGGATCGCCATCCTGCACCTCCTGCATTTTCCGAGCCTGTCGCCACTTCTTGCTTTTGCCCATCGGGCTGACCGACTATTAGTGATCTGGATCCCCGACACTCGGGGACTTCTGATCCCAGCCGAAATCGCTTGGAGATTGTCGGTGGCCACAAACGCTCGCGGTGCACCTGAGCACGGCGAGCAGTCGGGGCCAAAACGGCTGGAGGAGGAGGAGGAGGAGGAGGAGGAGGAACATTGTCAGGGGGGGTAAGCGATCCCATGAGGAGGGGAGGGGGAGAACAGGAGGACTCTGGGGGGGTAAAGGGGTAACAAAGGGGGGAGACAGAGGAGAATCCGTGTGGCAGGAGGGGCACGTTTCAGGGCCGCTTGGAGGTTTGAGGGGTCGTTGGAGGTTTTGGCTTGCTGGAGTTGTGAATCATTGGAGATTGCATGCTGTTGATTTGTTTGAGGGTTTGGAGGTTTCGAGTGGGACTTGGACGGAGAATGCGGAGAACGAAATGGGAAGGGAGGGGGAGGGAGCATGATGCCAACGAGAACGAAAGACCGACGGCACCACTGGAGGAGACCATTCCACGCCGATCTAAAACCTGCTGCCAGGAGCTGGAGAAGGAATGAGGAGGAGGGATCACCTCCGAGGCCAGCGAGACGGTCATCTCATCCTGTCCAATATCCGTCTACCGTTTCCCCCCCCCCCCCCCCTTCCTATCGTCGTTTGATTTCCCCCCACTCCTCTCTTTCTCTCTCCGTCCCATCCTTCCCGTGCCCTCCTTCCCCCAACCAGCTTTTCCGCTTCGCTGGAATCGCGTGGCCGTTGGGTCCCAGAAGTCTCGATTTGTCTCCCAACCTACTCCCCCTCCACGTCCGCGCATCCACCTGCTCTTCCTTCCGATCCTGGCCACGCACACGCTGCTCTGGATGCTCTTGGACTCTCACGGGCCGAGTCGTGTTCGGCCTGGCAGGCCCTTCGCGGGTATTTCGATCAAGCTCGGTCGCGACGATGGCGAGCACCTCCGAAAGAACCCCTTCAGAAGACAAATACAGCTGATGCCAGCGGCTAGTTTTCCGATGCTGGACTCATTTGGTCACCTTATTTTGCTCGCAGTGGCCCTCACCCTCTGAATCGGCCCCCAGCCTGAAGTCGGACGTGTCCCCTTACAGGGGGATTGTGGACGACAAATAAAGAATCGTAAGACAAATACATATATTCAAAAATAGTCAAAAAACAAAAAACGTCCCCTGACTATTTTTGAATACTCCTCCTGTAGAGGGGCATGCCCGACTTTACCCCAGACCTTAGACCTTAGTGGGCCCCGGAAACTGCAGGGCCGTTTTTCACCGTTTCCGAAAAAGTGCCCCTTGAAAATGGAAACGGCAAAAAAACGGCGACCGGAAACGGCAACAAAAACAGCTCCAGGATTGGAACTGGAGCGGGAAACCCGTAAAAGAACGGCGACGGAACCGGTAAAAAAAAACGGCGTCGGAACCGGCAAAAAAAATGCAAAACGGAACCGGTAAAAAGACGGCCCTGTCGTTTCCAGGGCCCACTAAGCCCCAGACCTGATCTGGGGCGTCCTGACCACGATTCCGAAGCAGACCCAGGCGTGGCGAGAGGCTCCACCCCGAGGGGCTCACCACGAGCGTGAAAGCCTCCCCTCCCCAGACGCCCGACGTCGCGGCTTCCTTGATGGGCCTGTTTTCCACCACCACCACCACCACCATAAGTTGGAGCGGCGGTCCTCCTCCTCCTCCTCCTCCTCCTCCTCCTCCTTCCTTCCTTCCCCCCTCCAACTGGTGGTGGTGGTGAAAAACAGGCTCATCATTCCTCACGACGTGGGCCTTTGGGGCTCTCTGCCCGACCCCAATTGACCAGCTGCGAGAGGGGGATTTATCCATATCCCCCGCCTGGCAACCGCCGCCCTGGTGCCCCAGCGGGCGGTGGATGTGGGCACAATTTGGCCCCTGGGGGCCCGAATACATCCACACACCCCGCCCGTCGAGATCTCCGAAATCGAAGCGAAGCCACCCCGATCCCCCGAAGCCGCTCGAGGCACCTGAGACCCACTTGTGACCCAGGTCAGGCCACGCGTGACCCACCCCGGCATCCAGCCCTCCCGGCGCCGCTCCCTCCACAACCCCCGCAGGGGCCCGCGCAGCGGTGACCCCCCCTGCACTGCCCAGAGAAATGAGGCCGGGCAGCCCCGCGCGGCCTCGCCCACGAGCACCGGGCGCGGCTCGGGCGCCACGCGCCGCAGCAGCGGCCAGTCGGCCCAGGGCGACGAGCGGCTCTGGGGCCGGTAGAGCTCCACGCGCAGGCGGACCTGGCGCCGCTCTGCTGCCGAGGGGCGGCCGCGGCCCCCGGAGCTCGCGGCGCGTCGGGGAAAAAAACAGACACGACGCAAGGCTCGTGGCAGGCTTCGGCCGCTGGGGTCCTCACCCTTGGACGGAAAGAAGGGCACGATGCCAAGCCACAGAGCACAAGCGCTGTCCAAACCAAAACCGGCAGCGGCCGCGGTGGGTCAGGCAACGCCCGCAGCGACACCGACAGCGAGCCCTGTCCAAAGTGAACAAGAATTGGTGCCGGTCTTCGTACCCACTATTTCCGCACCAACTTTGCTCGTGCCGATCACTGGGCCCAGGACCGTCAAAAAGCGGCTCGGGTGGAAAGGCCGTCTCGGGGAAGGAGTTCAGTCCTTTGGGGAGTGACGCTGCTAAAAAAACACGAAGTCGGATGCACTCTCCGCCAGGTTTCGCGGCACTCATCCCCACCTCGCGGGGGTGGGCCTGTGGCGATAAGGAACCCTGGTCCGCCGAGGATGGGGATCGGTTTGCCAATGCTAAGACCTCCGAATCTGCAGCCGCTCTGCTGCTAGAGGCGGCTGCGGTGGCCTCAGGGACGCCACAGTGCAGCTTCAAAAAACTGCAAATGACGGGGTCAGGGCAAGGTCAGGGTCAGTCAGCATCGAAATTGCACGTATGATTGGATCGGAATGTGCGAGCCACCAGGCTGCATCGGCACGCAGGCGAAGTCGAATCGGATCGGCTGCGCCTGGGTGCACAAGACCACCATGCAACCATAGGCATAGAATAAGGCCGCATCGGATCGTCGGAACATCGGGATACCACTGGATCAGGCCAGCCGCAATCGATGCCGAATCGGATTGATCGGATCGGTCTGGATCTCGGCTGGTGAGGACGGGGTCCGTGGGCCGTGTTCTTTTTTCACGTTTTCGGCACTCCGGCACTAGACACTTTGTCATGTACCCATCTGCCTTGGGCGGTCTTCGGCGGTCTCCTGCGACAGAGAAGACTTGCTGCGACTTCGCGAGGGGACATAATCGAGCACCTAAGTTTTTGACTCGCTGGGTACCTCAGCAACGGTGGCACCATGGTTTGCAGTCAGCTGCGCGCGTCGAACGACTGCATCCGCGACGAGGCGAGACGCCTGCGTCCCGCAGGGCGGCTGCCTGCGAGACCCAAACGTGGCCCTGGGATGCCGAAGCAGAGCAGGCGAAGCACTGAAACAGCACATCCCCCCGACTGACGAACGCGATGAAGTGGGTCTCGACCCGAACATATATTGTGGTGCCTGGACGGAACAGCTGGGCGACACAACCCGAAGGGAGGTGCCCAAGGTGCCTGCACGGATTCACATGCAATCGGACCTCGCAACATGAAGGGATTTTGGACGAAACATGAAAAATGGTCGAGAAAGGTTCAAGAAATGCCCAACTATATCCCCAAAATCAATCGTCCCAAGACTACTTTTGCACCATCTTTTGAACTCCTCTCCTGTAGAGGGGCACGCCCAACTGGAATCTGGGAAGCCGGGAGTGCCCCCGCCGTGCGCCGCCCACGGGCGGAGGGCCCCGGCCTTGGTGCGGTTCCTCACCAGCATCGAGGCGTCCTCCGCGTGCAGCCACGCCCACGACCACGGCTGGCGCGCGCGCGGGGGTGGGGCCGCCGCTCCCGCCGGCCGCCGCCCCCGCCGGCGCCCCCGCCCACCTGCACCCCCTCGGGGGGCCTCGGCCTG